GGAGTGCTTCTATAAAATTGGTATTACGGACAAAACTTGGTTTTCCCTTGACGTTAATTCTTAATTTACAAATATAACACTGTTACACATAACTGATATTTTATGTGAATACACTTTAAACAAAAAGTCTTAGTTGCCCACCTCCATATTGTATTATCGTTGTTTCTTTCGGTTCTGTGTGAAACACAGGGCTTCAATAACATATCTCCACTCTGTTCTATTTTCTACTGTCCTCTCTAGCTGCGTCCACGATTGATCATAATCTCTCATCTCCTCTTTGCACGGTCTCCATATCACCCTAGGATGACCTAATCGTGGCTCGCCATTTGGATTCCATTTGAGCCATAACCTGGCGCGATTTCACTCGAGAGCCTCCTCGAAGTATGCCCAGTCCATCTCCATTTTCTCCTACATTTGTGTTGACCGATCGACAAATCATATTTGTATCCTCTGTTAGAAAATGTTGTAGTTTCTTTCACTTAAACATTCATTTCTTCACATGAAATGCGTGTTGGATTGAAGTTCCCAAACTCACAGTGGTGCGGAAGTAAGTTTCGCAAATTCTGAACTAACTCTGACTTTCTGTAGTGAATAAATTCTGAAAATGTCTTGAAATGGTTTGATTTACCTCACAAACTAGAACCCAGCGCTAGTTTTCAGAATGACTGGCACAAATTCAGCACCTGTGCTTTTTGTTGTCATTTTCAGAAGTAGCTCAGAACCTACTGGGTTTTTATGTCAGCTTTATTTCAGCCCTCTCAGTCCGAATTTGGCAATGACTGGCATTACTTTAGGACAATCAGACTTAGTTCAGCTCATACTGGCACTTTTTCAGCCCTACGTTAGCACTGACTAGCATTGTTTCATTATTGCCAATACGCATTTCACGAACATATTCAACGCATTATGGAAACACTGCTGCTAATTGTCATTTAATGCATCCTATGCTAACGCACATCGTTGAGTTTGCAAAAAGAAATCACTTTTTATTGAGAGGATTCTATTATATTACAGTACAATATGGATAGATGTGAATTGGATCTCATAATGTCATCAACAGCAACCAAAGCTCTAATGCACTCGAAACCAGTTTCCTCCAGGATAATGACAGCAATATTCAACTCAAAAGAAGAGAAGGTTACAATTAGTCAATGCTACCTACAGTGCTACAAACAACGCGGAACAAGAGAAGAAGGAAAATTTTCACAGACAACTACAAACATTAACTGATAACATCCCGAATGGAGACATCGAAATCCTCATGGGCGATATGAATGCCAGCCGAATTACGAGTGGACAATACATGAAGAGAACTCATCGTGGTTTGAGAGGCTCTAGGCGAAGTGTTAAATGATAACGGAGAAGTTCTCGCAGACTTATGTGCCTTCATTGATTTTGTGATGAGAGGTAGCGTGCACAGGGCAGGGATATACACAAGGCGACTTGAATTTCACTTGACGGACACTGAAAATCAAACCGACTTTATTTCAATGCTGTTCAAGAAAGTGGAGACGCAGCCTTCCGAACACACATACGAGAAGAGGAGCAGATGTGATCTCAGACCACTGTCTAGTGCATGGAACTTCCGAGGTCCAGTTGAAAGCCATAATGCAAGTTCAACCACTGGGAAAATGAAGGTCTAAACCACGAAAGACACCTGCATCGCAGCCATCAGGGTAAAGTCGGAGACATTGGGTAACATCACTGAGTAAACCTGTGTGAAAGAACAGTGAAACTCTCTGAAAGTGATGTTTGATGTCAAGTTTACTGCAATTTCAGGAAGGAAGGAAGGAGAGGAAGGACCAGGAATGCCTCCCTGAAGCACGTGGAAACTAACAGAAGACAGAAGGATGGTGAAACAGGCGATAAACTAATGCAAAGTTGAACAACTGAAGGTGAATTTGAGTTCAGTGTACAGTGCACTGAATAAAGGAGTGAAGAATAGTGCGAACAAAAACAAAAGACAATTCTACAACACACTGGAAAGTGAAGCAGAACAGGCCACAGGTAATACGGGCCTCAGAACACTATATCCGATAACCAGGTCTCTATCGGGAAAGAGATGAACGCAGATGAAACCAATGAAAAATGGTCAAGTGAACCTAATTACCAAACTGTAGAAACAAAGAAAAAATGGCCGAATCACTTCGTAAGACCACCACATGCAGCTTGTCCAGAAATACCACCTAATAGATACAAAACTAGCAGTGGACAACAATCCTCTAACAGAAACGGGAATCTTGAAGGCAATCAAGCCACCGAAATACAGAAAGGCAGCAACACCGAACAGAATTCCTCCTGAAGCACAAAACAGATCCAGAGGCCGCAGCAGATATGCTCATGCAACTGTTGCAGAAAGTTTGGTTAGTTAAGGTACCTATTGATATGAAGAATGACTGCCTTTTCAAACCATCAAATAAAAGCAACTTAGGCCTCTGTAAAAACTGGCTCGGAATCATGCTCTTGTCCACGGTAAGCAAAACATTAGGTGATATCATCCTGGGGAGAATTAGGGACGCACTGGATACAAAACACTATGGATTTAGGAAAAGCAAATCAAATTGCAACTCTGCGCATCGTCATCATGCAGAGCATACAATGGCAGTCGAATCCTTACATCAACGTCATCGACTGTGAAAGAGCCTTCGACAGCGTTGACTGCGAAGTAATTTGGAAATTACTTTAACTAACTACGGAGTACCCTAAATCTTTATCAACCTCATTCAACAGCTATATGAGAACACCACATATCAAGTGATCCACAACCGGAAACTCAGCGAAGCTTTTGAATTAAGAGCAGGAGTGAGACACATCTAGCTGCCATCACCGATAATTTATCTGATTGTAGTATGCTGGAGTATGTAGAAGACTATAGGGTGCAAGAGTGAAGAGATATGACCGCTTGGTAAGAAGAGTATCGAAGATCTGGACTCCTCGAACGATCTATGTCTAATGTCACACAAACTCTGCCAACTAGTTCGCAATAAAAATCAGCCTTCATAGAACTCCAAGTAAACACAGAGATAGTGGTGATGAACATACATAACCAACCAATAACAACAGGCGTCAATCACTGTCAATCGAAGAAATTCGAAGGGAGTCACTTCTTTCACTTATCTGGATATCATCGTTTTAGCTACAGACAGCACGGATGACGATGTCAAAGGTAGGATCGGATGAGCACAACAGACATTCAGTAATCTGAAATCAGTGTGGAAATCTTCTGCATTCAGCATAAAGAACAAGAATCATACCTTCAACAATAATGCCAAATGAGTGCTTCAATATGACTTAGAGACTAGGTGCGTGACGAAAAGCATTTCCAACAGGCTTCGGACTTTTATCAACAGCTTCCTCCGCTACATACTGAAGAAGAGATTGCCAGAAGGGATTAAAAAAGAATTCTGGCAACAGACCAACCAAGAACCTACTACCTAACAGATATTCTGAAGAAAACAGGGATGCTGCGAACACACGCTGAGTGACGCTACGCATCAGGCCCTCGAATGGAAGATGAAAAGGTGATGGCAACATATCTTGACTGTCCAACGATGATCACCAAAGTCCGATCACTGAACAAAGACACGGAGCGACCATCAAGAGAACCTACTATGCAGCTGAACTCATTTTCATAGAGGAGACGAAATTTTTGTTGTTGTGTGAACCCTCGCAGCATTCCAAAGATAGTGTCACATGTCTTAGAGTGGAAGACATGAAAAGATTAGCTGTCTTTGATCATAGGTGTCTGCGTTCTATCTCCCGTGTGAAGTGGAATAATAAGGTGAGCAATATTGAGGTTAGGCGTCGAGTGCTAGGTAAGGAGGGGGAATAAATCGACGGGGCTGTGAAATTACATCGACTGAGATGGTTAGGAAATGTGTTACGTATGCCTAGTCATCGCCTTCCTCGACGGGCAATGTTAGCTGACATAGGGTCAGGCTGGAAAAGAGCTAGAGGTGGTCAAACCAAAACATGGCCTTACCAGTCAATGAAATCCACAACAGTTAGTCTAAGCCACGTAGGGAGGAAGGTGTAGACTTCCTGGTTGGGGTCCTCGGGACGGTAAAAACCAATTGTCGGAAACAATTGGTGACATGGCTCAAAATCGTTCTCAGTGATGGCGCAGATGCATCCACTCCTTGTGACTCACGATTTCCAATGAAACCATATTGTTCTTCGTTATTACTTTTCCTTTGTCTCACACCTTTGTTTACTATCTCTATTATGGATTTCTTCTCTTGCTTTGTGTGTTACATGGAGTGTGGCGAGTTGAACTGCCGCACATATGTGCAAAGTTCTATGTCGAAAACAGACAGACAGACAGTCACATCCAGCTGTGTTAATCAATTTAAATGTATATTTGGTCACACGTACATAAGTAGGACCCACTGATATCTGCAGGTTAGGACGACAGAACACAATCTTAAATGGGTGCGTGAACAAAACGATCGCCTGATTCAGTAAACCCTGGAAATAGATGTTCAACGTCATTTTTCGCTAAGCACACCTTAGAGACGAGTCATAAATTTGATTTCAATAGCACCATTAACCCTATACATAAAACCGGTTTGGGTAATTTACTCAAATTCTTCGGAGCCATATTCACAAAAAGACTTGAACCTGTCTTTATATTTAATTAAAAATTATTTGTTTTTACTTTTAGTGTTGAAGTTAATTTTACTTAATAATATATTTACCCCCTCCTGGTTTCCCAGTTATCCTTATTCATTGTAAGAAGGGTTAATGACACTCTCCAGGTAGTCGAAATCAACAAAGTCCTTACTGAAAGCGAAGCGCCTAGCATACTGAGTAACAAATCCGAATGATAATCATTGCAGAAGTTGAAAAGTAACACGAATCAACATTTATCCCTCTTCGAACATATGACAAACCGTCCATGCATAACAACAAACAGGTTTAATACGATACTCGTTCTCGCTTACAGATGATAAAATATTGATGGCAATCTATTTTTATAATAGTTAACAAAAATGAAAGTATCGAGTAGAACTATATTGCTATAATAGAGATTGTACAAAGAGGATCTTTTATAAAATACGCAGGACTGTACAGTTTTAAAGTAACCATCAGGTAGGAGATATACTACCGAATCCATGCATTGCTTGCCGTTAGTATACAAAAGAAATATCTTCTAATGCCGAAATGACAGGTGCTGCCCGATAAATAAGTTAGGTCAATCAGTAAAAAACCATTTCAAGTACTTCAGGTGATTGAAATTAAAACTTGCACATCTGTATACTCAACGAAGTTGAAAAATCGATGGTGTACACTCTGGTTTATATTTCAGTTCAAGTGATTGAAACCTAGACAGTGAACAAGAAATGCAGATAGATAGATAAAGGATGAAAACATACATTTCTGAGTTAAGATGATAGTAATATCCTAGAACATGACCAATAGATTTCTGCAAACCGATGTAGTAAAATCCAGCAAATGATGCACCTTCTATGTGTTTCAAACCAGGATCAGGAACAATGAACTTCTCCTACGAAAAAATATGATAAAACACTAAAGTAACACTTACCTTCCATCTCATAAAAATGGTATCAGATTTCTCCAAGACAGAATAATCGAAACTGTCGATGTGAAAGTTTCCTAAAGAGCTTGTTGCAGGTATTTTTTCCTGAAAATAAATTCATAAGTAAAAAAAACAACAACAACTAAACAAGTACCCAGTGTAAGACATCTGTTTCCATTGTAGCATCCCATTTACCTGTTAAGAAAGGATGCAATCTGCTGATTATCTCTCCTTCAAAGTATGTAGTCAGACTGGGGTATTCCTGGGTCAAATTCTCAATTTTCATGAATCCGTATATCATCTTTTGCTGCATATCAACATACTGAATAAATATTATGATTATTAGAGGTATCATCTTGCTTGTATTGTCACTTCAACGTTGTATTTTTTACCCTTGGACCGTTGAGAGCCTGTGAATACAGCACCACTACAAAGACATGATGTTATCGTTGTATGTGGAAGCTCTTGTGGTAGCAAGTCGAGATCGAAGACTCCAAGCATTAGAGGCTATATTTGTAGTTCTGAAAAAAACAGCAACAGTGGAAATGCACCAACTTATTACTCATATGCACCATACAGATACAGTATGAAAGGGATTAGTAGACACCTTCGGAAATCGGTCTTTGTTGGAAGTACACAAGGACACAATATCAGTAGAAAGTTAGTAACATCAATTAGTGACCAATTCTTTCAAAACCTAATCGTCAACTAAATGATGGACAAGAAACGAAGTTTGGTTGAGGTCAGTAAAGTTTCGACTTAAAATATTCACCACTTTTCCATCAAAATTCTACGTTTATGAGAGGCCAGCAACAGTCCCTAAGCATACAAATCAACTATAGAAAATTAATCTGATGCTCGCTAGTAACTTGCTACAGGATGGAGATTCCTGGAGTTCTGGTGAGAAGTCGTGACCAATGAGCCCCATCCAGATGTCACGTGTGAGGATGGATGTCCCACCGATGACATTGGTTGGGGTCGCGCTAAATCACGAATTGGCAGAAGTTAGAATTCATGAGCCAATGAATTGGGTCCCAGTGGCTGAATGGTATACAAACTTGCGCCTTGTAACCGGAAGGTACTAGGTTTGAACCCCAGTGGGTGCGTACTGCAGATGATTCCCAAACTAGGATGAAACAGCTGTCCAGTACTCCCTGATGGTTTTCAATGGTTCTCTAACTGATATCAATCCGTGATCAACTCGTAAAAACAAAACTAACCCTTACAAACCAACTATAGAAAATAGGTGAATGAGTTTTGTGGATAACTTACAAATCCCTCAACAAACGAGAATGCAGTAAAGCTAGGTCGTCGATCATCCGCCAGAAACACCATGCCTGTACCGCACAACTTCCCTAACCGTAACACTAACAAGTGACTTCTCTTAGTACAGTAGGACAGCGAAGGACAATCGTATCAGCACCCATAACTCGTTGGATCAGTGAGACATACAAATCAGAATACCACAACATGTGATAATCCAATAGGTATGTAACGGCTTCATTGTTTGACCACTGTTGCCTTCACATCACATTTAGTGTAATGTTGGGTGAAGGACGATTAGGACTAAAACCATAATGTGACCAGAACACAGTGTGTTGTCAAAACCATGAAGTCTCTCGAAAAACAGATGACAAAAGCAACAGGAGGTTTAAATATAAAACCATTTTATTTTAAGAATCGCAATAAGCAAAATAAAGTGAATTTATTTATGCAGTTGAATTCAGACTGTACGGTTTAATAAGTAACACTGGAACTGAATGGGAGGAAAAACTCAAGACTCATATGTAAGAAAGGGGATTATATAATCAACCCGGTACTCAAAGTCAGATTATTAAAACCTACAGTGACATGTTACAACCACATAAGTCAGGTTTGAGTTGTCTGAGAGTGATGGCATCAAAAAACTTTAGGAAGTAGGGCCTTTTTGTTGATTTTGCATACTCAGATGAAGAGCGCCGGTCTACTTTGGCTGAACTAACAGATACATTATCCAATGCGCAAGAATCAATCTAGTAGGAAGGGCAGTTTTAGGTATTGATTTAAAAAAAAGTTTTAATCTGGTTGAGACTGGTCATTTGGTAGACATCTTCAACATTTTTCAAGGAATAAGTAAGTAAACAATAATATCAAGCTACCTAAAGTTCCCTGACTCAAACCTGATCTGTGCTTGAAAAAAACTACACCGTATACCTGAGTTTTGACTTGTAACCAGTTATATTATCTTTTTTTTAAATGAAAGCTTTAATTTCTTGTCAATTATTCAGATGTGTTAATTTTTTTTCGAATTTAACACATCTGAATAAGTGATAAGAAATTAAAGCTGCCACCTTGACTTGGTAGTCAGCCTTGCATATCGCAATAACCCAACATGATACACTGACTGAAACTATTGTTCCCAGGAACGTTGTTAGGATAGCGACTACACTAAAGGCAGTTACCGGTACTGTGTAAGAATTTTTTTTGCACTACGCTGGCGGACGGATGTAACAGAAGTAAGGTGTTTCCCTCAGATGAACAGCATGCTAGCTATGCTGTCTCTCCACTCTGGAGAGAAGGGGTGAGAAAAGGTCGACCCCAACAATTGTACATCCCGACTTACTCTACGGTGGTCCGTAACCGGTGGTAAGTTTACTAATACGGAACGAATTCCAGAGACCGATTCATAGAAGCCATGTGTGACCAGCCTTAAGCAGTTGTCCCCTGGGCTCTGCGGTCACACTACACTAACCCTCCCTCCGTTCCAGGTACCCGAAGAACCAACCAATTTCCACGGTGTGGGCAGCCGGGAAGTGACAACCGCGCATACACTTTCAAAAGCACATGAAGCCTCCCCGAACATCATTCTCCTTTACTCACATCACTTTCATCATCTTATTTACCCACTACAGGCAGTACTATTCTTCAGGCTAGTGCGTCGTCTTCACTTCACTGTGTGACCACAAACAACGATGAGAGCCATATAAACACCCCCTGACAGCCTCTTAAAGCCAAGTCGCCAACTTCATAGAGGAGCATTCAACGTCAGGACCCTCTGTCAAATCGGACAACAGGCATCACTAGCAAGAACCTCGCATCTCGAGCCATTGATACATATTGTGTCTCGAAGACACGCATACAAGACACGAGTGTGGTCATTCACTTAACCTCAACCAGGCAACAAGGTGAATCTGCAAAATTCACTTTAAGAGTGTCAGAAGACCCCTCAGCTAGTTCGCGAGGACTCGCACGTGTAGGGATAGCATTGAGTGTTAGGGCAGAAAAATCACTTCTTGACTGGATTGCAGCAGATATTCGTATGTGTGCGGTCCGTCTGAACGGGTCCGTTAGAGGAAGAAAGGACGGCGTTACCCGTCGTTGTCTTTTCGTAGTCTCCGCTAACACCCCAACATACTGCAGTTCGGATGAACTAAAGGATGATTTTTACCTGAAACTGTCTAATTTGCTGCAAAAAGCAGAACGTTCAGTCATAGTTGTTTTAGCAGGTGACTTCAATGTCCAAGTAGGGGAGTTGTGCCAGACTGCGACGTATGTAGGTGGCACGTATGGAGTTCCCTGCGGATGAACCGACAACGGTGATCGTCTTCTACAGTTCTGTTCATGTAATCATCTATTCCTAGTCAGCACTAACTTCAGGAACAAAGAGAGACAACACATAACCAGGCGACCACCACCACCAAATCTATGTTCGACTCAAATAGGCCATATAGCGATAGGGAATCATTGGCGAGAGTCAGTCGAGGACTGCCGATCCTTCTGGAACACGTGCGTAGACTCCGATCACGCTTTGGTCCACTCACGTTTATGCTTACGACTAAATGGACATAAGAAATTGACGGCAGCGAAACAGTTACGCCCCCAACTAGATCGAGACACTGAGTCAAAATTTAAGGAGGAAATGGCGAAACGTGCATCTGAGGTCGACAGCAATACACCTCCTGAGACAGTCTGACACAACACACAGTTAGTTGTAGAAACTGCTGTAAAAGCTGTTATTAACCTAAAACCAAAAGTTAGTAAGAGCCATTGGATTTCTACAGCCTCATCCAAACTGATTGACGCAAGAAGACTGATTCCGACGAGCTCCGATTATGATGAGGAGCGAAAGCTACTCAAACGCAAGCTAATAAGAAGTCTTCGTAACGACTGTGAACAGTAGTGGGCGACATAAGCGATGGAGATGGAAAAGGCATCGGCGATTGGTAACACCAGACAACTATTTAGACTTATCAGCGAAACAGGTGGTAAAAGGCAAACGGTAAGTGAAACAATCTCTGAGAAAAATGGTATTATAATTAGCTCCCAGGATTGACGACTGGAACGCTGGAAAGAACACTTTGAGGAGCAGTTCAATTGGCCTACAGCCACGCTCAAATTACCGAACGTCCAACACCTCCCTGAATGGGATATGGACACAGGTCCTTCATCCATAAATGAAGTTACTAAGCCTGTCACTAGTCTGAAACGAGGCAAAGCTACGGGACCCAATGGAATGACTCCAGAGGTGTTTAAGGACGGTGGAAACAGTTTACAGTCTGCCTCAACCAAGGTACTGGGCTGCGTCTGGGAATCGCAGGAAGTCCCGTCAGGTTGGTGTAAGTCATCGATTATCCCGATATACAAGAAGGCAGACAAGTCTTCCTGTGATAATCACAGGGGGAATAGCTTGACTAATATGATATCTAAATTTCTAGGCTCAACAATAACGCACGCAATAATCGGTGCTCGGGAGGAACAAACACGAGAGAACCAGGCAGGTTTTAGACCAGGGGGAGTGTGTATTAATCATATCTTCACCCTTCGACAGATTCTGGAACATACGCAAACTTGCCGGCGTCCGACAATCGTCATATTTCTTGACCTATAGGCGGCATTCGGTTCTGTCGACCGAGGGAGACTATGGAAATGTTTGGCTGTAAGAGGAATACCAAGAAAATAGATTTCACTGATCAAGGCACTCTACTCGGACTCGTGTCAGGAAAGAGCTTACGGTGAGTTGTCATCTGGATTGGGATAGCTAGTGGTGTCCGTCAGGGATGCCCACTATCCCCATTTCTATTCCGTTTCATCGTAGATGCGCTAATGGACTTAACCCTAACTGACCTCAGTGACTCAGGGATTGACTCGTTACCAACAGAGAATAATCTGGTTGACTTATAATATGCAGATGATATAGTCCTCCTGGGTGAGGATGCTGACATAATGCAGAGTCTTATGAACACCTTAAGCTGCAATCTACAAATGTTTGGCATGTGATTCGTCCCCGCCAAATGTAAGATGATGTTACAGGACTGGACTACATTGACTTCTAGCTTAGAAATAGGGAGTGAAGTCGTCGAGCGTGTTCACCACTTCAATTATTTGGGGAGTTGCGTCGGCCATCAACAATGGGTTGATCGCTAACGAAATCTCAGCACGGATACACGAAGCTCGTTCTCCATGTGCCAACTTACGCCAGCTTTGGCGTAGACATGATATCCGGCGATCGACCAGAGGATGTGTGTAATGCTTAGCAGTCCGC